AATGTTTTTACAGCTCTTTCAGAGATCATATTTATCTGAGAGCCTGAATCCAGGAGTGCTCTGAAACTTCCATATTGGCCGTTGTTTCCATGCACTTCGACTCGAGCAGTGGCGAGTAGCACATAATTATTTATTGTACTATGTGCTGCGGCAGTTATTTTGATGTCATCTTTGTTCTCCAGATGTAGCAACGTATTATGTTTTTGGTTGCACTTCATGTAATTGCGTAGGAAACATGATTTTGCCATATGATTGGGCCGCAGACAGTTTAGGCACAGTTTTTGGTTTAGTGCCCATTTTAGTCGTGCGTCTCCAGATTTTGACGCGAACTTGTCACATCGATAAATTTTATGTTCTGCTGAATCACAGAATTGACAGCCTTTATTCTTTTCTGTTGAGGCAGACGCGCATATCCTTTGCTTTTCTTTAGGGACGTAATGTTTCCCTCCTATCGCTTCCAGTGCCAAGAATCTTTGTTCTAAGAAGGCTAAGAATTCCTTGATGGGTTGTAGCTTTCTTGTGTCTTTAATGGATTGCTCATACAGTACATGAGTAGTCCTGTCCAATTTTCTTGCCAGTAGCATTAGCAAAAGTGGATCCCAATTGTTGACTTCTATGCCGCCGTTTCTCAACGTAGCTAACTTTTCTTGAATAATATCGTGGAAACCTTTTATTGATGATGCATCGTTTGTCACTGACGGTTGATCCAAAAGTTTGTGTAGAGACGTTGTAGTCAGGACTCGCTTGTTGTCAAAACGCTCCTTCAGCATCGTCCAGGCAGTTTCATAGTTGGACTCTGTTAGATCAAGTGTCTAACCAGTCTTTCAGCATCTCCAGAGAGGTTTGATTTTAAGTACCACATTTTTTGTACTGTTGGCAATGTTGACTCATGAATCATTTTTGTGAATAGATCATGAAATTGTTGCCATTTTAAATAGCATCCGTCGAATTGTGGTATGGATACCTTTGGTAGCTGTACTTGCGTTTGGGCGGATTGAATTTGGAATATGGCTGCTTCTGCATTCAAATAATTTTCCATGTTGTATCCAAGAGCTATTGGATCTTCGAACAGTCTGAAGATCTCGAAGTGAATATGGTTTATTTTTTCCCAATATTCTGTTACAAGGGGCCTGAATCGGGCCTGTGACTCTTGTGTTATCTGACCAATCAGTCTTTGTAGCGCTGCTAGTAACGCGGTTTGATGCCTTTGGAGAGGTATCAAGTCCGAGCGTGCTGTATCTGGAGGGCTTAGCTCGTTCAATTTTGTGGAAAATTCCTCCTGATATTTAATTACGATGTCCTTGATCTTTGAGAAGTAACCTTCCCTTACATAAGGATTCTCCACAGGATTTTCCGCCATTAGATTCCTTATTTTCTCATTTCCTTGATCGAAGGCACTCCAAAGCTGATTTAACTGAGTATGTTGCATTTGACTTCCGTTCCTGAGGATCCTTTTTATAGTTCCTAATTAGAGCTTGGATCTCCTCACCAAGCGTGGTTTGGTTATTAATTAAACTCTCCATTTTTAATTAATTTGTTTTATTTTTTATAAATTCGTTTCTTTTTTCTTAATTCTTGTTGTCTGATGTTTCATTAATCAGAATGATGCAGTAGTGCTGATGCCTATGCTGACTTGTCGCCAAGATGACAATCCTGGTGAGTCTGGTTGATTGAGTTGAGGCCGATTCAGCGCTTAGTTTGACCACTTGTTGATCAATTCGAAGATATAGGATTCGCCAAATGAATCCACTGTATTTTGTTTGGTTATGAAGATGTTGGTCGTTAAGTTGACCACGTCTACCGGTTGATTTAGAAATAGGGTTCGCCAAATGAACGCTATGATTTCTAAAAATTAGTCTTCCATCACGTCGGGGTCACCAAAATGTTGAGTATCTATTAGACCTTGGTACAAACCAAGACTAGGTAGTTGTATTTGTATTTAATTGTAAGCCTCTAGTACAGAACCAGTGACTACGGGCGTCGCAACAAGTACTTGAACCAGTTGGACAACGGAGATGAGTATCAAATAGTGAAAGACGAGACTCGTTGCTCTATTTTCAAGTGCTATTTTCTTACTAATTTATTTTATGAACGTAATGGCCTTATATACTATTTTTAGGTGGTAGGTATCAATACAAGATAGTGATTATGGAATTTTACTTAGTCAATAAACCTAAATAAATATATAAAAGGTTTTATTACGGTCAGAAAAGGCTATCTTATAACAGATAACCCAATACTTATACCTAGCGATAATGATGGGTTATTTGCTAATTGTCTGGTACTGCAGATAACCATTCTACCTACTATCTTAATTTGTTTAGGATGAGTTATGTAGATTGTTGATTGTAGATTGAACACAAAACTCAGACACATATAATACCATAAAATCTAAGAAAAAGGCTACTACCTATATACCATTAAAATACTTTTGAGCAAAATCAGAGCTGATAAAATACCAAAAAGTATTTAAAATACCATACTCGGTCTCACTGCCCAGGTTGCGGTACAAGTGCCCATTCTCCACCACGTAGTCTCTAAACTTCTCCGGCTCTCTGGCGATGCTTGCTGGCAGCTCTCCAAGGGTTGGCGAGACAATGCATCGGCCGCCACGTTCAGGCTTCCCCGGCGATAACGGACGTCGAACTGGAATTGCTGTAGTTCCAACGCCCACCGGGCGATCCTGCCCGTGGGGCTCTCTATCGAGTTTAGCCATTTCAACGCCAGGTGATCTGTGACCACGTTGAACTTGTAGCCTTCCAGATAGCAACGCATCTTCCTGATTGCCCAAACGATCGCGAGGCACTCTTTCTCCGTGGCCGAATAGTTCACCTCCGCTTTCGTCAATTTTCGGCTGGCATAGGCTATGACTCCTTCCCGTCCCTCGATTTCCTGAGTTAGCACCGCGCCCAGCCCGCAATCGCTGGCGTCGGTTTGCAGCACAAATTTCTCCGAGAAGTCGGGGCATGCCAAGACTAGTGCTGTCGTCAGGCTCCCCTTCAGCATCTGCAGCGCATCTTTTTGCTCCTCAGTCCAGACCCACTTCTGCCCCTTCTTGAGCAGCTTGGTCATTGGTTGGACCAATGAAGCGAAGCTCGGCACAAACCGCCTGTACCAAGACGCCATTCCCAGGCATTGCCGTAGCTCTTTCAGGTTCTTCGGTGTTGGGAAGTCTCGAATCGCCTCGACCTTCGCGGGGTCGGTGCAGATCCCTTCACCACTAATGACGTGGCCTAGATACGCCAACTTTTCCCGGAAGAAGCTGCATTTTTTCTATTAACCTTGAGGTTAGCCGCTCTCAGTCGCCGGAAAACCTCCCTCAAATTGGCCGCAGGTATGCGAACGCGTGGGGCTCCATCTCGGGTCCGATCACCGTATCCAGTGCTCTCTGGAACGTTGCCCCCGCCGAGTGCAGTCCGAAGGGCATTACCCGCCACTGGAACAAACCTTTCGTAGTCGTAGTCGGTAGTACCTCTGTTTAAGAGGTTTATCGTCCCGGATCCTAATGCTGTGTTCCGCTATGTGGGACACTCCTTCGAGCTTCTCGAAGAGTGCCAGCTCGGTCTCCAGGAACTCCTTTAGGCAAGGATCCAGATCTTCCGGCCACATCGCGGCTTCGGGGGCCGGCCTTGCGTCGTGTTCTTCTTCCGAATCTATTGCCTCTCGTATCGGGGGGTGCTCTCCCAGCTTCCGTTCGAGCCGCTCGTTTCCCTTCCTGTCAGTCCTCGCGCAAATGTCCGGCACCCTCTGCGATCCTGCGTCCGCCCAAGCATTCCGCTTCTTCGACGGCGGAGTCCAGCTTGGCGCCTCGGGGTTCAAACACCTCACTTTTTTTTTTTCACTTTCATCATTTAGTTTATTTCAATATTCGACTTAAATTCTAATCGGCTGTTTGCGCTGCTCGAAAACTAATAATAATTTTTCTCCTAGTCAGCCGCCTTCACGCCTCCGCCGCGCGATCCGCCTCGGCGTCGGCAGTGCAACTCACCACAGCGTCGGCCCTTTGAACTTTCGCCGCGAAGGACAGGGTTGCATTGCTGATCGCCGCGACTTGCGCGCGTCCCTTGACCCATTTGAAAATAGCAAAATTATGTGAGGCGGTTCAGCGAGCCGCCTTACAATATTTTTATTCGGTAGTGTTCATGCACATGCATGAACATAGAAATATGATAAGTATGGGAACATATGAATATACGAAGATCGTATACATGCCTCCGACGCACTCAACGACTAGCATGTAGTGCGCTGGGAAAAGATAAGGGTCACATGTACGGACTGTATAAATAGACAAATGGACACCAACCCTTGCAACCCCAGAGTCAGATATGTAAGAGACGAACGCTGAGCCTTACAACCTCAGCGATAGGATAAGAATAGATAATAGAACCACGCGGAGCCTTACAAACTCTGCGATAAGATAAGAACATGCAATAGACCAATGCTGAGCCTTACACACTCAGCAATAGACGCACTAGATTTAAGGGTTGAAATTATGCATGAGTCTGGGTATATAAACCCAGGCTCAGAAGAATAAAGATCAATACGAAATTAAACACCAACATAGTCAAGTGTATTCGTTCATGGTCCTTCAAGCCGGATCACAAGTCTACCAAATACCAAATGTTGTGACAGTTGTATATTAAATTTAAAAAAAAGTGGTTTCTTCTTTGGCTTACCAATCCACGCTGTGAGTAGAGGCACAGCAAGATCAACAAGGCGATCAAAACAAAAACACCTCCAACGGGTTAAGCCAAAAAGAAGATCAATCACAAATAAACAAAAACTACAACAACCGCAACAAAATGCTGTCAGGAAAGGCTATTGATATGCTACAAAAGCAATCAGACCTGTATGACAGAACTATAAAGGCCATAGCTAATAAGGATGCGTTAGAAGTCGTGGATAAGTTGGCAGAAGAATTCACTGCCAACCATTCTACACTGACTAAAATCTGTACCCCAAACCATATATATTTTACTGAGAAAATATATGATGGATTAATGGAAAAAGTCAGGATCTACAAGGAGGCCCTGATGAAGGTCGAAGCTACCGACCTCGATATAGATACCGACAAACCATCCACTAGCAAGAATTGGCATATGCAAACTGAGGTATCCAGGAAACAGCAAACTCAAAAGGAAGTACTGTTTTCACGAAGTGGTTCAACCTCAATGGACTATCTGGTAGAACTTGTGAGTAAAAGAGCTCTAGTGTTAAAGCGGCACATTGAAGAGGTGCATGCCAATCTAGAGCTCAGCAACCAGGAGGAAACTCTAGATAGCAAAGAAACACTAGAGTTCCTCTGGAATAAAGTCCAGTCTACGCTTACCGATTTGGAAGTAAAATATGATATACCTTCCCATGAAATCGACGGCATAGACGCATTGGAGCTTAAAGTCCATACATTGTCGAAGAAACTTAACAGGAAGTTAAGTGTCTTTCACAGTATGAAAGAAGACGTTCCAGAGATGCCAAAATCGGATCTTCCTCAATTTAATGGAAGTCCCAAAGAATGGCCAACGTTCTTCAACTTGTTCTCCGACATGGTTCACAAAAGGAAGGATATCAGCGACACAAGGAAGCTGAACTACCTGAAATCATGCCTCAAAGGAGATGCCCAAATGGTAGTGAGCCATTTGTTAAGTGGATCAGCTGCTAGCTACAATTCGGCGTGGGAACTTATATGTAAGCGCTATGAAAATAAGCACAAGATATTCGCAAACGCCGTTAACCAGCTAGTGGACATGGAACTGCTGGAAAACAATGATGAAAGCAGGATCCGCCAATTCTTGGATACAGCAAATGAGAATATTCACATCGTTAAAGAAGTAGCCCAAATTGGTAACGATGCTGATGTACTAATCGCTCAAATTTTGCTACGAAGATTCTCGACGGAAGTCCTACAACTTTACGAGCAACATGTAAAGAGGGCCAGAGAAATTCAGTCCTTGAAAAATGTACTCGAGTTTATTGATCAACTATACAATTCAATAGACACAGTACAGATAAGGGCCGTCTAGACGGTTATTGAAGCAAAGAGAACGAACTACAAAAGATGCCGTTTTTGCAACCTGGACAACCACGAAATTACCAGGTGTTCAAAATTTAAAGCAGAGCCAGTTAAAAAACGCAAGGAGTTTGTAACTAAAAGTGGTCTATGTTTTAAATGCCTAGGTTTCCATAGCATGAAAGAGTGCCAAAAGGATTGGTCATGCAAGTATTGTACCAAATCACACAACAATCTGCTTCACGAGGATGCGAACGAAAACGAGACCTTCAGCAGCAATTGTCTTAAAGAAAGCAACGGACAAGATACGTTGTTGGCAACTGCGCTTATTCGGATTAAAAACAAGTCCGGAAAATATGAGCAGCTAAGGGCCCTCATCGATGGAGGCTCGCAAAAGACATTGATATCTGAAGAGGCCGCTCAACGACTACAACTGCGCCGAATCAAGCGGAAATTGGGAGTACAAGGAATTTCACAGAATGTTGAAGTTCTAAAAAACAGCGTTTGCTTGACAATCAAACCAAGGATGACAAGCAAATTCGTCACCAGAACGGAGGCACTTGTTATGCCAAAACTGCAAAGAGCTCTACCGAGCAAGAAAATTGAAATGGACATCAATAAGGACTGGATGGGCTGCAAGCTGGCAGACCCACATTTCAATGAACCCAGCAGAATCGATGTTGTGATTGGCGTTGATTTACTCCACTCAATAATGTTGGGAAAAGTTAAAAAAGTCAACGGTATACTGGGGCAAAAAACTGAACTTGGATGGATTGTTTCGGGGAACATAGCTAGAGCAGTAAACAACAAGGTGATCAGCGCAACAACGACGATTTGCCTGGATAACCTCGAACGCCTCTGGAAGCTGGAAAATAACTCAAGCTGTTCAAAAAAGAACAATAAATGGGATGGCCAAGGCCGGCTAGTAGTCTCCATACCATTTAAAAAAGATTTCGAGTCAGGTAAATCGCGCAAGCACGCTATGACACGATTACTGCATATGGAGAACAAATTCAGAAAGCATCTACAAATATTCACGGAATATAAAGACTTCACTTGGCATGGGAACCGCCACCTGAGTAAAGGACCAAAGTAAGGTTCATCTGGATGTCACATTCTCTGGGCCCCGCAGAATGTTCAAGTACGAACATGAGACCTCAAGGATTGCAAGCATGGACATTTCGTCAAGATTATCAATAATTATCATATCTCTATTTCTCATGTACACAAGTAAGAGAAGAAACCAGGGACAGGAATTGTCAGCTATTACTTTCTCTGGCCCCCCGCAGAATGTTCATGCACATGCATGAACATAGAAATATGATAAGTATGGGAACATATGAATATACGAAGATCGTATACATGCCTCCGACGCACTCAACGACTAGCATGTAGTGCGCTGGGAAAAGATAAGGGTCACATGTACGGACTGTATAAATAGACAAATGGACACCAACCCTTGCAACCCCAGAGTCAGATATGTAAGAGAAGAACGCTGAGCCTTACAACCTCAACGATAGGATAAGAATAGATAATAGAACCACGCGGAGCCTTACAAACTCTGCGATAAGATAAGAACATGCAATAGACCAATGCTGAGCCTTACACACTCAGCAATAGACGCACTAGATTTAAGGGTTGAAATTATGCATGAGTCTGGGTATATAAACCCAGGCTCAGAAGAATAAAGATCAATACGAAATTAAACACCAACATAGTCAAGTGTATTCGTTCAGGTAGTGTAAGAATCATTTGTGCCAATCATATTCAAGTATTTTGAAGGCACTTCAAATTTGTGGCAACATTTATTAGATCTTCGCAATCCATAACTATAAATAATTAATCCATGCTTAGAAGGAAGTTACAGTTTTTAATATTGTATTAAAATTATTATTTACCGTATGTGTAAAGTCGAATTAAGCGTGCCAATGTTCATTGAGTTCCATAGCTTCGATTTTACAATGTTCATCTGGCTAAATACTCGTTCGGCTTCCGCGTTTGACCACGGCAGCGACAGTAGTAAAAAAAAATTGAAAATTGAACTTATTTTTTGATTATAGACACAGTAGATAAGAAAAAAAAGTTTTTTAACAAATTTTCAAATTGGTGTCTTTTACAGGTGAAATTTAACAAATAGAGCCGTGTTTCGTGGTGTATTACTTGTTCTGAGCGTGCTTGAGCGCGCAACTAAAAACGACATATTCAAGATTAATGTTTATATATTCGGAATTAATAAGTTTCTTCTGCCCCTTTTTGTTCCTTTTTGAATAAATTGACATGTTGCAGCCAAATATGAGTTTCGGCGCTTAACGTTGCTGGAAGTTTGGGACAACAACAAGCGCGATGATGGTGCACTTATCATATGGGTATTGGAAAAAGTAAACAAATCTGATCTCAGTGCTGCTCAGGTGGATATATTTACTGAAAAAATCAGGATTTTACTGAATCACGTCAAAAAATATTTGCCGCAGTGCAATCGAATGTTGCAAAGATTTAAGGCTCGACACGCAAGGTGGCTTTCGCAGTCAATTACTTTGACGTTAGATGAAAATGTGACGCATCTGGCATCTTGATCTGCAATGGGTAGACCGAAGCTAAACTATTCAGATGCTGGAGAGCGCCTAAAAAGAAAGTTAGCATGTGACCTAGCATCGGATAATAATTTTTCCACGCCTCATTTGCTTCACTCGGCTTCAGTTTCTGCAAAGAAAGCCACACAGGATGAATTAGCGACAGTTTTAAAAGTCGTCAGGCATGAAGACTGCTCTGAACTAAAAAAAAACCTTATTTCCAAATGAAGTCACACCTCTTACTTCGGAAGAAGCACTGGCTTTTTTATTGGAAAATGGATTGACAAAACAGCAGCACATTAACATCCAACAACTTAACAAATCTCGTGGATGCGATATTTTTCCACCGTACTCATCCCTCCTGGAAATGAAAACGGTTTGCAGATCACCCCAAATACACATTTCGGAAAGTTGTGCACAGGTTTCAATGCAAAATATCCTAGACCATACAGCCGAAAGAATTATGGAATTACAACAAGTAAGACGGCTCCAGTCGAGACTGCTCGACTGGAAGATACCCTGAACCCTCCAAGCTTTTATTCTTCTCATTCTGCACTTCTTTTATTCACACATGCATACACACGCATCCACACGCACGTATATCACGCGCTCTGCTGACTGCGTGGTATCCAAAATCTGTTAATTACAAAATCTTTGTATCCATCAACTTTATATACAACGCAAATTTGAAGACTCCAGGTCTAAAAGTGTTCAAATTAGGCTAAAAAACAAAATCAATTTTTCGATTATTCTCGATGCACGTGCACACATACTCAGAAGAGAATTTTAATTTTTGTGTCCTGCTAGCTTGTGCGTGCGTACATACATTTATATGTACATATGTGTATGAGAGCACAGCGATAAAGAGAGAGAGAGAGAGAGAGAGAGTAAGGCGAATACCGCACATATGGTTAAAAAACAAAATCAATTTTTCGATTATTCTCGATAAAAAAGTTATCGAATTATCGAAAAAAATAAAGCAAACTCGTACTGCGTATGGTACTCACGAGTATGCATGCCAAATTTCAGCTCTCTAGCTCTTATAACTTCTGAGATCGACGCACTCATACGGACGGACGGACGGACGGACGGACGGACGGACGGACAGACGGACAGGGCTATATCGACTCAGCTTGTCGCGCTGATCAAGAATATATATACTTTGTGGGGTCTGCCACGCCTCCTTCTGCCCGTTACATACTTTTTCACAAAACCATTATACCCTGATTTCCCATTTTCAATGGGTTCAGGGTATAACAAGTAAGAAAGCTCTAGTCGAGACTGCTCGACTACGAGATCCCCTGAACCCTTGGAGCAATAGATATTTCAATAATTTTTCGCGTCTTTCAGCTTACACAAGAAACACGCACACACACACACACGCACGTACGCACACACAGGCATACATACACACACACGCATACACACACGCATACACACACGCATACACACACACATACAAACACAAACGCATACAGGAGTTCGAGTTGCGTTTTCACGGAGTGCGGTCGATGTCATCGTGGTCCATCGTAGACAATAGCTTGAACTGTGTTTTCCCCTGTGAAAGTGGAAAGAACTGAAGTCAACGTGTTTGCTGTGGGCGCGGCGTACCCAGCGACCTCAAAAAACTACCAGAGACTTACTGCGCGGCGGTTCGTGGAATTCCCAAGCGGTATAATTCGGTGGTGCAAGAGAGGGGGGGCGATAGCGTCAGTGTTTTGGCGTCAGGGCTTCTTTCCTTTCCTTGTCTTTTGTGGGCGCGTAAATTTTGTTACTTTAGGCGTCACACTTGCGCAATAAGAAAAATCAGGGTGCATTCACTCTAACAGCTGTTAGTAGTGCTGGAAATTGCATCGGGCAATCAGCTGCTCACTAACGTTGGTGAGTTGCTAAGCCTTAGCAAAGACAGCAACCTAGCTGCTGGAGTGAAGTAGCAGTTATTAAAAGTAGTGCATACTTTCGGGCTCTCGCTGTAGTCAAGTTGAGTTTAAGTTACTGCGGGTTGTAAACTCAGATTATATTAGTAGCCATTGCCCACTACAGGCTTCACGCCGTGGTAGTCGGAGCAGAAATGGAAGCCATAATGGAGGACGAGCTGCAAGCTTTTGCGCGTCGTTCCTCGTTGCAGCGATCGCCGCAGCAACAACAGAGGGTGTTGGCGCAGCCGTCGACTTCTAACCAGGCTCCAGTGGCTGAGTGTCAGGCACCCAAGTCACTAAAAGAAGCGTTAGCTCAAATAGGAGCTACACTAGAGGGTCTGTCTGCCTTATTTGGGGGTCAGCGGCATATAAATGCCTTAATGAGAGAGGAGCTGGCTAGGCTGCTCAGCCTTCACAAGACGGCCGAAGCGTTCTGCAACCGTTCGGTTAAAAACTGTGAGGTGCAGACCACGCCACTCAAAGTAGGCGAAAACCTTAAGGCAGCGAGCATTAGTGCTACAGTAGGTAGCAATACTCCCAAGCGGTCGAGGGAAGTTGCCTCCGAACAGAGGAAAACTCCCTCAAAAAAGCCGAGGACCAATAGAAGTGCAGCGAACCCAAAAGAACCAATGGCTCTACGGGCTACAGCTGAATCTGAAACTTCAAACCAGGCCGCCCGACAGACAAACCAGAGCAGCTGGACAGTCGTCAAAGGGCGAAAGCCTATGCAAAAACGTCCCAGGACTGACGCGATTGCGATTTCAGGCGTAGGGGGTTGCAGCTACGCGGACATGCTTCGTGTAGTTAAAAACGACCCAAATTTGAAGCATCTGAGCAGCGACGTTCAAGGCATTAGGAAGACAGCTAAGGGGGACCTTTTACTGCAACTGAGTAGGAAGCCGGAGCATAGCGCTGAGGCTCTGCACGAAGCTGTAGGCAAGGCCTTGGGAGACCGAGCGGTAGTTAAAACACTTACCGAATCGGCGCAAGTTGAGATTCGCGATCTAGATGAGTTAGCGACCAAAGAGGAGATCTTGGAGGTAATTAGGGTGGAGTTGAAGGATAGCTCACTCCCCATTGAGGCTATCAAATCGCTTCGGCCAGCTTTTTGGTGGACAGCAAAGAGCTACGGTTGCTCTTCCAATTGGGAAAGCTAAAACTCTGCTCGAGCTGTCCAAAATTAGAATAGGATGGGTAGTTTGCCGTATCCGAGCCGTGGAGCAGCCTAAACGCTGTTTCAAGTGCCTCGATTACGGTCATATGGCAGCAAACTGCGGCAGCGACTGTGACTTAAAGGGCGCCTGTTTCAGGTGTGGAGAAATGGGTCACAGTGCCAAAGCATGCACCAAGCCACCAAAATGTAGCCTCTGCATCCGGAAAGGTGAAAAGCAGACGGACCATTCAGCAGGCAGCTTCAAGTGCCCATCTTACCGTGAAGCTGCTCGTAAAATGAAATGTTAAGGTTTTTGCAGCTTAACTTAAATCATTGTGTTGCTGCCCAAGATCTTCTAGAGCAGACCATTAGGGAAAAATGTATAGATGTAGCTTTTCTCAGTGAGCCTCACCACTGTAGAACCAGCTGCCCTAGGACATGGTCAACAGACGTTAATGGCAAAGCTGCGTTGTGGGTATGCGGCAACTCAACGAACGTACTTTCGAATGTTAAGTCATTCAATGGGTTCGTACGTGGCCGATATGGTAGCTTGTGGCTTTACAGTTGCTATCTGGCCCCCAGCATGCAGCTCAGTGAATTCACGACGGTGCTCGACGAGCTTGCCGAGGATGCTAGGGGGTCGGAAGGCCATTATAGCTGGAGATTTTAACTCCTGGGCGCTAGAATGGGGTAGCCCAACAACAAATGCCAGAGGTCGTATCCTACTGGAGATCTTCGCGACACTAGATGTTGCACTGCTCAACACTGGCCATGAGTACACCTTCAGTCGGGCGGGATACGGGTCTGTTATCGACATTACTTTTGTCACTTCATCCCTCTTTCGGGGAGCAACATGGAGCCATTGCGATAGCTATACAGGCAGCGATCATACGGCACTTCTGTTCACAATAGGTGAGCCACCTGCCAGGGCGTCAACATTGTGGAGGGAGTCGTATCGGCAAGATACTTTTGATCCCGCGGTCTTTTCAGAGGCCATTCAGTCTCTGGGTACAATTGGTAATGCTGAGGCCAGAGCATGCCAAATGGTAGCCCAAATACAGAGTGCCTGCAATAGCAGCATGTTACGCCGCAAGCAGTTCACGCGACAACATGAGCCTACGTATTGGTGGAATACGCAAATAGGTGACATTCGTCGCAAATGCATCCAGGCGAGAAGAAGCTACCAACGGGCTCGCGGTAGGCCAACGTTTCTTGAGAAACAGTTAGCTTACCAGGCAGCTAGAAGACAGCTGAAGAAGGCCATTCGGGCAAGCAAAAGAGAATGTTTTTTACAGTTGTGCGACTCAGCCGAATATGACCCTTGGGGCAGGGCATATAAGATAGTAGTTAAAAGACTATACGCAGGTAGACAGGTGCAGCCTACGGATCGTCTGGAGCTTAAATCGATTGATCTGCTCTAGGCTGGAGACTGCGATTGCAAGCGCCGGAGGCCTGTCACCAAACCAATTTGGATTCCGGAAGGCCCGGTCAACAACGGACGCGCTTAACAAAGTTGTTGGTCTGGCCACTTCCGCTATTCAAGGCACCAGATGGAGGCACGGGACGAAGGAATACTGTATCATCGCGACCCTGGATGTAAGGAATGCCTTCAACACAGCTAGTTGGGATATGATACTGAATGCGCTGTCACAATATAATATCCCTAAATATCTAAGAGAGATAATAAAGAGCTACTTCAGAGGAAGAACACTGGTATACAACACGAGTGAGGGTCCCCAAACTCATACAGTGTCAGCTGGAGTACCCCAAGGCTCAGTGCTGGGGCCTCTCCTATGGAACATCATGTACGACGGCGTACTGCGCTTGGAACTACCAGCAGGCGCGCACACCATTGGCTTTGCTGATGATGTAGCTGTCGTAGCCATAGAAAAGGAGCTCAAAGATACAGAGGATATGTGCAGCGAAAGTATCAATCGCATACGAAGCTGGTTGACAGGAGCTGGGCTCGAGCTAGCGGCACACAAGACCGAAGTGGTACTAGTCAGCAGTCGCAAAGAGTGGAAACTGCCAATATAAAGATCGGCAGCGTCACCATTGCGTCAAAGAGGGCGATAAGATATCTTGGTGTCATGATAGACACAAGATTAACTTTCCGCGAGCACTTAGAATATGTGCATAAAAAGGCAGCTGATTCTTGTAGAGCTCTCTCGAGAATCATGCTTAACACGCGGGGACCTAAACAGCAACGACGTCTCCTCCTAATGAGCGTCATTAGGTCTGTCATCCTCTATGCTGCGCCAATATGGGCAAGAGCGATGGCAACGCCGAGCTACAGCCGAGGCATTTGCGCGATCTACAGGCTGAGCGCAATCAGAGTCAGCTGCGCTTTCAGGACTATCTCCGATGACGCGGCGCTCGTCATAGCCGGTATGGTGCCACTGGAGTATTTGGTCGCCGAAGCCGTGGAGCGGAATTCGCACGGGCCTACGCGACTCAACGCTGTCAGGGCGAACAGCATCGCACGATGGCAAAGAAGGTGGAATAGCTCAGCTAAAGGGCGGTGGACGCACAAGCTCATCCCGGAGCTTGAACCATGGGTTAACCGCAAACATGGCGAGGTTAACTTCCACCTTACGCAGATCCTCTCGGGTCATGGATGCTTTCGGAGCTATTTGAAGCGCTTTGGCCACGAGGAATCTGACGAGTGCCCCTGGTGCGAGCGAGGGCATGTGGAAGACGCCAACCACATTCTTTTCGAATGTGGACGGTTCCTGGAGGAGAGGCGTCGTCTGGAAGAGGCAGTGGGCCGCTCCATCAGAGCGGACAACTTAGTCAACGCCATGCTGGAATCGGAGGAAGCTTGGGAACTAACAAGCACCTTCGCGGCCACAGTGATGATGGAGCTCCGCAGAGTCGAGCGACTGAGAAGACGAGCTGTCCCAGGCTAAGGTAGCGCATAGTGCTTGCGAAGCAATGCTTTACGGCCGTCCCGCAAGCACCGCGCGCTATCCTAGCCACCACACAACTTGCAATTTTTATTTTGTCAATAAATGAATATAAAAAAAAAAAAAACACAAACGCATACACCCACACATACACACACAAGCACCCACGCATAAACACGCATGGGCTGCAGTGTGCGCTTACTATGAGAACTTAATTGTTTAATAACTTTTTTTATGGACTTACGATCTTCATGAAACTTTCAGATTATGATTATAACATGAATATGCATGCAATTGCCAAAGCACAGTCTCTAGTATTTGAAATACGTTTTTTACAAAAGTGAGGGTGAGGGGGTGAATTTAGAGGTGGGGGTAAATTTTAACAAAAACCGAAATTGTATAAATTGCATATAAGCATACATTAAAAATTTGGAGACTCTAGCAATAAAGGTGTAGAAGATATAATTTTATTACTGGTTTTCGATAAGGTTTTTTATCGATCGAAAAAAGATCGGGATGAGTTATCGATTTTTAATGATAAACTTGATATGCGCGCTGTAATCACGGACATTTTAAAAAAAAATTTGAAGTCTCTAGGTCTTATATCTTCGGAAATCGACGCGTTCATACATACGGACAGACAGACGGACGGGGCCAAATCAACTCAGCTCGTCGCCCTGATCAAGAATATATATACTTTGTGGGCCACGCCTCCTTTTGCCTGTTACATACATTTCAACAAAACCATTATACCCTGATTTCCCATTGAAAATGGGTTCAGGGTATAAAAAGAGGTTTTAGCTGAAATTGATGATATTTCACATTGCACATTAATAACAAGCTATGCCTTTGATGGATCAACGGGTCAAAGCATTTATAAGCAACAGTTTCATTCGGAGGAACCTGCTTCCCTTGATCTTTCACTTTTTGTCACCACAATAATACCATTGGAATTAAAAGATAAAAATCAACGTATCATCTGGAAAAACTGCTCTACAGTCTGTTAGGTTCTGCCGGCCTCTAAAAATTGAGTATGCAAAGGAAAGCCAGACTAAAATATTACTCGAAAAAAAAGTTTGGATGTTCAAATCGCCACCTTAAAGAATTATTTATATAAAAAGGGGGACAACGAAGTTGTCATTAAATATGCTACGCAAATGACACTTATTGATGGCAAGGTGCTTAACACCTTAACTGGAACGACATCCACTCAGTGCTGCCCAATATGTGGTGTAAAACCAACAGAGCTTCTGGAAACCACAGATTTTTATTCAGGAAACTTTGCACCAAGACCTGAAAGTCTTCAATACGGCGCGAGTTCATTGCATGCCTGGATTCGTTTTTTTGAATTCGTTCTAAATGTGTCATATAGGCTCGAAATTCGAAAGTGGCATATTAAGCAGGCTGACAAAATGGAAGTAATGTCTCGAAAAAAGAATATTCAAGACATGATGTGGAAACAAATGGGTCTCCATATAAACATGCCCAAGCAAAATGGTTGTGGCAATAGTAATGACGGAAACACAGCCAGAAGAGCCTTCTCTAATACCCGTTTGTTTTCATCAGTAACAAAATTTGATCAAGCCCTTCTACACAATTTCTTCGTGATTTTGATTACCATTTCGTCTCACTATTCTGTAGATGTTGACAAATTTAAGGAATTTTGTAAGAGCACATTTTCAATGTACTTAAGTATATATCCTTGGTACCTAATGTCTCCGACTGTCCACAAAATATTAGTTCACGGCTGGCAAATTATGAACTCATCCTTAGTTCCGGTTGGATGTTTAGGCGAAAATGCTTCAGAAGCTCGGAACAAATATTACAAAAGTAACAGAAAATTACATGCAAGAAAAAAAAGCCGACTAAACACCATAGCTGATGTGTTTTATAGAGCAATGGATTCATCAGATCCGCTTATATGTGCCGTGTGTGTCCGCCGACCCAGAAAACTATTAATTCCGATCCGGAAAATTCAGATTCGGATTCTGATTTAGATCACGAATCTGACTGTGATGAGCAATATAACATTATTTTAGACAACGAGGAAGAATAAAAAAAATGTATTAAAAAAAAACATTTTCATAAAATTTTTTAATGTGCTAGGGCAGGTGGGTGAAGACAAAAACAAAATCCGGAATTCTATAAAAGTTTAGCAAAAATATGTACCAAATTTCAAGGCTCTAACTTTAAAATTGGACTTTATGCCAAAAAATCTGACTTTCTGGCAATAGTGCAATGGCGGTACTATAGATACGTGTTCAATGCCGATATCACAAACATGTATCGCCAAATTCGTGTTGATCCTAAACACACTCCATTCCAAAGGATCCTTTTCCGCAAGCCAGATGGCAACATCGGGGACTTTGAACTAAGCACCGTCACATTCGGAGTAAACTTTGCTCCCTTCCTGGCTTTGACAGTTCTCAAACAGCTCGCAAATGACGTGAGATCCCGTTTGCCTCTCGCCAGCAAGGTCATCTCCGAGTGCATGTATGTCGAAGAGCACACTCCAAGGAAAAGGTGATCGCAACTATTGCTGAGCTCATAGAAGCCCTGGAGAGTGCGGGGTTCCCCTTAAGGAAGTGGTTTTCTAATTCCAAGGATTGTTTAGAAACTAGAGGTCTGCATGAATGTATTCATTTCTAAAACCATGTACAGTAGTAAAATGTTCTCAAAATACTGTACTCATTCCTTGCTGTACAGTATATTCAACTGTAAAAAAAAAATGTTGTTCAACATTTTACTGTACTCACTTAGAATGAGTGACAGTAATAGCTGTACTCTTTTCAAATGAGTACACTATCTTTCTCTTTTTCACATGTTGTACACTATACAGGCATTTGGGTGCAGTAAGTGACAGATGTAAAGATAAATTTCAAATTTTGTACAAAGTAGACATGGTTGGTAAAGGAAATAATTTAAACGCAATAAATGCGAGCGAAAGTGTAAGTTTCTGAAAAATAATATTATAGTTTGTCTATTAATGGTAAATTAATAAAAAAAAAAAAAAGTGTTACATTATTTAATAATTGTGTTTGTTTTGTCTTTGTATTTGTCTTTTGCAAGTTTATGTATATGTAAAATCGTAAAGTCACACGCAAAACTGTGTTTGTTAATATATGTCGCATTTAATGTTTCATCAATAATTTAAAATTACACCAGTTCTCATCGTTGAACTGTTCAAATACGGGAACAGATTTTAAGCAATACGCAGCTAATATAAAAGCAAAATTATTAGCAAATGAGCTGCACCCATCTTTAAAACGAGGTCGGAGCAAGGTTTGGGACACATTTTCTCGAATTGTTGATGAAGCCGGCGTAGAAAACCATGATGTGGTGGTGTGCAATACATGCAAAAATGTGTATAAATTTGAGAAAAGCACATCAAATTTAGTAAAGGACAAATGCTACGTAATGGCAAACAGTCATAGGCGCAACCATTGTGAGGCGGCTCGCCGATCACCGCCTCACGATGATTATCAAGTTGAAGTTGGCGGCGCAACCCTGCGCGGAGAGTTTTGAGCGGAGAGTTGCGTCGCCGTGGTCGAGCGCTTTGGGCAAGGAAGAAAAAAAAGCGAGAGTTAGTCGGGATCGAGCAGCGGAACCCGTCGGATGAAAGAAAAACTATAACTAAATTGTGCAAGTAATTTTCCTTTAAGTGCGGTTAAGTTAGTCGAAAAGTGAAAAATAAAATAACTTGGCGGAAAACAAATAAAACAAAGAGGATAGTTTCATTGAGAGAGGCGACGGCGAAGCTAGCAGAGGATCAGACGGCGGCGAGGCAACGGCGAGTGTGAGGTCGGATTATAAAGCAAGCGGTGCACGTGAGTGGCGGTTCCCATATTGAATTTCTCCCCCCTCTTTCCCTGTTCCCGGTCACATTACTAAACATCTATTGGTGCGAAGTTCGGAGAAGACGTGAATGTTGAATCGTTACTGCCACATCCCACAACAATTTCACGGAACATCGAATCTCTGTACGAATTTCATTTCAATGAAATAAAAAAAGAGATTAAGGAGCATACGAAGTTTGGGTACAGCATAACGTCGGATATATGGACAGACGACTGCTACAAAGTTTCATAAATATCGTTGACGATACATTATGTTGCAGATGGAACCCTTAAAAATCGATTGCTTGCAAACAAGTCTATGGAAGGACAATCCTGTACCGGTAAGAAATATTGATGATCATTTGATAATACGCTTCCAACTATCCAACACTGCACCTAGCTATTCCACATATAAATAATTTTTAAAAATTTTTAGCAGCTAATGATAATGATGTGGAAATCGTAAAATGCAAGCTTGCTCTTGAATCAAATTTTCTAAAAATAGTTCTAGATAATTTTTTTTATTCCCGCCGACAAATTTACGGAACTGGAGAAGGAAGAAACTCTCAAAGATCTTGAATCCATAATGATAGAATCTCACCTAAAAACCCAAACAGAAGTAATAGATAACATTAATCCACCCAACTTAGCAATAGATCCAGTTTGTGCAGATTATATGCAACCCAAAAAAAAACTTTAATATTAATTCCCTTATAAAAACTGAAATAAGCGCATATCAACATGTAAATTTGCTATAGATCAGACTTTCATGTTCTGCATTGGTGGAAAATTAACCAACAACAATTTCCACTACTTTTTAAAATAGCATGTAAGTTGTTAGCAGAGCCTTAAGAGCCTTTTCGGTTGATAAAAACCTCATGCACACCAAAGTAGTGTACAGTGAAAGCACTGTACAGTATTTTTTACTGTACTCATTTAATACTGTACAGTATGAAGTTAAGTGATAACATAAACTGTTCATATACAGGGCTGTACAACTTAAACTAGTACTCATTTAATGCTGTACAGGAAAAAAAGTGTGCTCATTTAAAAATGAATGATTCAATAGCCCTTTTGAATACATCCATGCAGATGTCTATTAGAAACCATCCCGAAGAGTCGCCGGCTGTGCGACGACTTCTTAGAGCTAGAAGATTCCAGCACAGCAAAGACTCTAGGCCTCCGTTGGCCGACAATTTTCTCCTTTCCTCTCCAGGACTCCTATACGAAAAGGTCGGTTCTCTCCCAGATCGCCAAGTTGTTCGACCCGGCCGAGTGGCTGGCACCCTTTGTCATCCGTTCCAAAATATTTATGCAAGCGCTCTGGCTACGAGGTTTAGATTGGGACCAACCTCTGCCTGGTGATCTCCTCACCCAATAGCAAGACTTTCTCCTCAGCTTCTCCAGCCTTCGGGAGATTCGTGTGCCTCGATGGGTACATTTCCAACCTCGAGCCACGATCCAATTTCATGGGTTTTGTGACGCATCTGAGCGTGCTTACGGAGCGGCTGTCTATCTGCGTGTAGAACTTGGCAATCAGATCTTCGTCAATCTGCTCTCCGCCAAAACGAGAGTCGCTCCGATAAAGTCCCTTTCGATACCCCGCCTGGAGCTTTGCGGTGCTGTCCTTCTAGCCGACTTATGCTCGGTACTGCTCCCGGCATCCCCGGCAGTCAGTTTTCAGTCCTTTTACTGGACCGATTCGACTGGCTAAACAAGCCTGCTCACAATTGGACAACCTTCGTCGCTAATCGGATCAGTAGAATAACTGAGCTCACCAATCCTGGTGACTGGCATCATGTGAGCTCAGAACATAATCCTGCGGACCTAGCTAGCAGGGGAGCTTATCCACAAGAGCTTCTCTCAAATCCGCTATGGCTCCATGGCCCAGACTGGCTTCGACTTTCTCAGTCTCACTGGCCACTCGTTCCCGCTCTTAGCTTGGAGACTGCTCTGGAGCAAAAAGCAGCTAAAAGTCAAGCTGCAACCTTGACTCCTCCAACTGAATTCACAAGCAGGTTTTCAGAGCTTCATCGGGCCCTCCGTGTCACCGCTTGGAAGTTTCATTTCATCATCCGGTGCAGGAGATCCGCCCCCTCCGTCGCAAGAGCACAGTGCTGATGAATTGCACTTTATTCAGTCCAGGTTCATCTCCTTGTGCCAAAAAAGAGTTTACGCAAAAGAGATCAGGTGTTTACGCGCAGAGCAACAACTTCCGGCCTCAAGTCCCCTCCGCAATCTTAATCCTTTCCTGGATAATAAAGGAATCCTGTGCTTTTTTCTTATCTGGACGCTCCACTACAAACATTGGCCCTTCGAGCCGGATCGCATCTCTACATATCTACACCTACATCTACACTCCAGCGATTCACTGGCATTCAGCTAAGTCTTTCATTTCATTTTTATTCACCCATAGGTACATCCTAATACACATCCATACATACATATAGTCCGCCATTGGTCCCTCATACCACATATTAATTACCTTAATCCCACGTACCAGTAAAAGTTATCAAATTTCAAGTTCACTGTGACGACCCATTTCTTTCATTCATTTGCCAGTCACAATATCCTTTGTGTTCTTAATTACATATGTACATTATATCCGTAGAATATCCTTTCTGCTCATAGCTACATATGTATATTATTTTCACCGATGATTTAACTTGCTTTTGCATGTATGTACATATGTCCGTATAAAAGATCTTCGATCGTCCGAATTCTAATTTCTACACACATACATACAGTCCACCACACCACTTGATACATCCAAATAAATATCAATAAAATAACCAGCAATATTCTTTGAATTTTTATACCCTGAACCCATTGAAAATGGGAAATCAGGGTATAATGGTTTTGTGAAAAGTATGTAACAGGCAGAAGGAATCATCGCAGACCCCATAAAGTATATATATTCTTGATCAGGACGACGAGCTAAGTCGATATAGCCCTGTCCGTCCGTCCGACCGTCCGTCTGTATGAGCAAAAGGCTCTCAGAAGATATAAGAGCTAGAGAGCTGAAATTTGGCATGCATACTCGTGTATACCATAGGCAGTACGAGTTTGCTTTATTTTTCCGATAACTCATCCGATAAATTTTTTATCGAGAATAATCGACTTGGTTTTTATACTCATTCACGAAAGTAAATCAGTATATTGGTTTTGTGCAATGTCCGTCTTGCTGTCCGTCCGTCTGTCCGTCCGTCCGTCTGTCCGTCTGTCCGTATGAACGCAATCTATTTCGGCGCTATTGAAGCTAGAGACTTGAAATTTGGAACACATACTCGTATATATCTCCGATTTATAAAGTGTTAAAATTTTCCCGATCCGCCCACTAGGGGCGTGGCAAATCGGAAAATGCATTTTCCGATATACCAGAAATCATGTTTGTTGAAGAGCTAAAAAGCTGAAATTTGGTATGTAGGTCCGCGTTGACCACCTAAGATCACGAGCTATGGCGGATATATCTACGCCCATTGGGGGCGTGGCAAATCGGATAAAACTGTATCTCCTAAAGTTGTAAACCTAGAATGCTGAAATTTTGCACGTCAGCTAATGGTATGATTCTATAAAGTCTGAAGATAAATTATAAGTCTACGCCCATTGGGGGCGTGGCAAATCGGACCTGAAGATATAGTGATTTTTTAAAAGTTTATATCTCCTAAAGTATAATAGCTAGAAGCTTCAAATTTGGATAGTTGAGTTACTGGTAGCCTCCTCTATCGATTCCCCAAAAAATAATTTTTACGCCTCTTTAGGGGCGTGGCATATCGAAAAATACCCTGTAATTTTCACATTTTTTGAGGGTAAGCATTCAAACTTTGCAGTTAGGGTACCGTTATCTCTTTCTAAAAACTGACCAAAAATGAGGTGTCTACGCCCAGTTGGGGCGTGGCAAATCGAAAAAACCTGTATATTCTACAGTATTAGAGCGAAACTTAACTACTAAATTGTTGATGGGATGTGAATGAGTATTCCGCAGTCGGTAACGCCCGACTGCAACGTTCTTACTTGTTTTAGCCTAGTTTGAACACTTTAAAACCTGGAGACTTCAAATTTGCGTTGTATATAGAGTTAATGGACACAAAGATTTTGTAATTTACAGATTTTGGATACCACGCCCCCTTCGCCCCCAATTTGTAAAAAACTCATTTCAAGTACTAGAGACTTGTGCTTTGGAATGTACACACATTTTAAACATATGATTACGCTCTGAAAGTTTCATTAAGATCGTATGTCTACAAAAGAAATTATTCAACAAATAAATTGTCATAATATTGCCCACTCTGCAGCGCAGCCGCTGCTTACTGCGCAGTTAGCAGAGCGCGTGCTTATAAGTGCATGTGTATGTATGTATGTATGCATAAAAGAAGTCTAAAATGATTAGAATATCAGCTTGGAGGGTTCAGGGTATCTCCTAGTCGAGCAGTCTCGACTGGAGCATTCTTACTTGTTTATTATATTTATCTACACTATCACTTTTGTGTTTAAATCCATATGTATGCCCATACATACATGCGTGTATGACCTAATTTCTGCACACATACATACATTCCATTTTTTGCACAAAAGCAACACTTAATACACTTAATAATAATAACAATATCCTTTGTGTTTTATTATATTTATTTACAATATTATTTTTTATTAAGGCTCCATGTGCACATACATATGTATATAACCTGCCGCAGCAACGTTACATACATACATATGTGTGCATGTGCACATAAATAAAATCACAATTGGTGTTTTTTTCTCTTATCCACAAATTTTTTTTTTTTTCACTCATATAGATTCTTAGCAACAAAAATTAAATAAAATTAAACAAAATCTTGTTGTTTCATTACATTTATTCCTTCTCTTTAACTTTTTATATTTTTATACCCTGAACCCATTGAAAATGGGAAATCAGGGTATAATGGTTTTGTTAAAAGTATGTAACAGACAGAAGGAGGCGTGGCAGACCCCACAAAGTATATATATTCTTGATCAGGGCGACGAGCTAAGTCGATTTGGCCCTTTCCGTCTGTCTGTCCGTCCGTCCGTCCGTCCGTCCGTCCGTCCGTCCGTATGTATGAACGCGTCGATTTCAGAAGATATAAGAGCTAGAGACTTGAAATTTTTTTTCCTAGGTCCGTGTATATCACGCGCATATCAAGTTTTTCTTTATATATCGATAACTACTCCCGATATTTTATTATCGATCAAAAACCTTATCGAATGCTAGTTATTTAATTATATCTCCTACACCTTTAGAGCTAGAGCTTCCAAACTTTAAATGTAGACTTATATATATTTTATATAATTTCGATTTTTGTTGTAATTTCCCCCCCACCCTTATATCCACCCCCTCACCCTCACCTTTGTAAAAGACGTATTTCAAGTACTAGAGACTTGTGCTTTGGAATGTACATACATTTGAACATTATAATTATGTTCTGAAAGTTTCATTAAGATTGTACGTCTAGAAATTAAAATTTTCAACAAAGAAATTCTTATAATGTTGCCCACACTACAGCGCAGCCCAAGCGCAGTCGCTGCTTACTGAGCTTACAGAGCGCGTTCTAATACGTGCGTGTGTATGTATGTGTGCCGAAAAGAAGTGCAGAGTGAATATTAGATTATAGGGTTTAGGGTATCTCCTAGTCGAGCAGTCTCGACTAGAGTCCTCTTACTTGTTCATATTTTGCATTTATATAATTATATTTACATTTCCATTTCTTATACGTGTTTGTGTGCTAATTGTGTCTCCGCTTTGCTCTACCTACACAATCATCCGGCTCGAAGGACCAATGTTTGTAGTGGAGCGTCCAGGTAAGAAACAAGTAAAAGAAAGCTCTAGTAGAGACTGCTCGACTAGGAGATACCCTGAACTCTTCGAGCAATAGCTATTTCGCAACATACATAGCAACATACGATCTTCATGAAACTTTCAGATTATGATAACAACATGGATATGCATGTCTTTGCCAAAGCACAAGTCTCTAGTATTTGAAATACGCCTTTTACAAAAGTGATGGTGAGGGGGTGGATATAGGGGTGGGGGGTAAATTTTAATAAAAACCGAAATTACATAAATTGCATATAAGCATACATAACTTTGGAGACTCTAGCAATAAAGGTGCTGCAGATATAATTTTATTACTGGTTTTCGATAAGGTTTTTTATCGATCGAAAAAAGATCGGGATGAGTTATCGATTTTTAATGATAAACTTGATATGCGCGCTGTAATCACGGACATTTTAAAAAAAATTTGAAGTCTCTAGGTCTTATATCTTCGGAAATCGACGCGTTCATACACACGGACAGACGGACGGACAGACAGACGGACAGGGCCAAATCAACTCAGCTGATCAAGAATATATACACTTTGTGGGATCTGCCACGCCTCCTTCTGCCTTTCAACAAAACCATTATATCCTGATTTCCCATTGAAAATGGGTTCAGGGTATAAAAAGCACAATTTTGATATTTTAAATATATTTTATTCACACTTAATAATTGGCGGTAAGCCCAGTACAAGTGAAAAAAAAGAAGTGAAGTCGTGTGAGAGCCCAACACCGAGAGCAAGCGGTTATGCCATTAACAGAATTCTGTTAATAGCATAATCGGACTAAGTGGGGAGCAGTGTTGCCGCTGGCTTGGCGAAAAAATAGGACAGATTGACCCAGAAAATAGGACAAAAAACGGACAGATTTTTTTTAATAGGACAAAAAAATAGGACTAAAAAATTTTTCTTCAATAAAACAAAAAGTTTAAGTAAATTTATACATTTTCATGCAAATTTATTAACACTTCGTCGAGTGTTTCATTTTCAGATTCTAAAACATTGATGTTTGTGCCGATTTGGCGCAAAAATTTTTCAGGCACTTCATAGTTATGGCAGCAAGTTCCGTTTCGACGTAATCCAAATCTGAATAAGAAGGAAATTTAATTTTTTTTAAATATTTTGTACGTAAGTATTTTTTTAAAAATAACAACTTACCTAACTGCCAAAATCTAATTTAGCGTATCGATGTGAAGCCTGTTCCTTAACTTTGTTTTCACCAAGTTAACTTGGCTGAACACGCGCTCCACTTCCGCATTCGACCATGGCAGCGACAACAAATTTAAGGCAAATACTGCCAAATCTTGAAACTGTCTGTTGCCAGCAGAATCCATAAACGTTTTCACTTCTGCCCAAAACGCTACCGTGTTCTCTTGGTTTTCCCATCGCTGAAGATGAATTGTATTGTATTGACAAACAATTTTTTCAATTTCTTCGCCTTTTTTATCAAAGATCTCCAAAATTTCTACTATCGATTGTTTGTTAGCTCGCAAAATATTTTCGACTGAGAAAATATCTATATTTTTCAAGATTTTGAAGTTATCTGGCAATCTGAAAATTATAAAAAAAAATGTTATTTAATATTTAAATATAATGCAAAAAGAATTCTTGTACCTATGCTTCAGTTGACAAATTAATTCAATAATGAATTTCGTGCAATGTTGACGAATAGTCAACTCTGCCTCATCATCGATGTTGTTTTTGATTTTTTTTAAAATGAGTTTCAAACTCGTATCCTAGATATAAATCACGTTTTGTATGGGTCTCAAATGGTTCTTCTAGAATATTAATTTCGCAGTCAGGTGGTATTACCTTTGAGCGAAGGTAATTTATTCCAAATATTAAGTCGCCCAATAGCTTAGTCGGGTTTGACTTATTTGACTGAAGGTTTTTATTGATCCGTTGCATCACTTCAAGAATGGGTTTTAAAAATATAAGGTACAAATAATTTGTGCCCGTGTATAAATCACTTAAAATTGTTGCTTTGTGGCATTTCTCTGCCAGAGCTGATGTCTCAAAGTGGAGCTTTAACTCTATCCACTGAGCTAATATGCGTTTCACGGCATGCTCAATAGAGAGCCACCTCGTATCGCACACCCTGGGAATCTGAAGGGGTTCCTTATTGAAAAACAATATATATAAAAACAAAAATTAATTCAAATTCAAACACTACAACATATAACATATAATATTTACTTGGGACAAGTTTCAGGACAACGCATATATTTAGTACGTGGTTAATATATAAAACAGGTACACAAATTAATAATCTGGAAGAATAATGTTAATTTTATATATGTAACACAAATATAAAAACTCCACCATACCTTATCATTATTTATGGCTTCGTACAATCTTTTGTAAGCCATCTGTCTACTTGAACTTTTTGCGAACCAAGAATAGGTTTCGCTGACAATAAATTCAAGCGACATTGGCAGTGCTTTTTTGCATGCTGCATTCACCGCCAATTGTACCGAATGGCACACACATTTTATTAATACTAAGGACGGTACAACCTTCTTCAATTCGACAAAAACACTTTTCTTATTACCCACCATTACACTGGCATTATCTGTTCCAATGCCAAAAAGGTTTTTAACCGGAATTTTCCGTTTTATTAATTCGGACAATAGGCACTTGGCAATACTCTCTGCGTCTCCATTTTCCAGTTCAATCAGACCTAATAGTTGTAACGATCCAATTTTCAGCTGGGGCAGCGTCAGTCTGCCCAGGGTGGATGCCACAAGAAAATTTATTAATTGCGGTGACCGGACTTTAGAGAGGGGGGGGTATAGGGAACGATGGGGGACAATGCCGAGGGTTTGGCCTCTCAGCGAACGGGCATGGCCGCGTTCTCTACATTGACATTAACTACTTTTACAGTCGGGCGTTGCCGCGACAGATTTCCTAATAAAACGTAACAAACAAGGGGGGGGTAGGGATTCACTATCGTGTGTTAATATTCAACTGATTTAAATCACAATATATAAAAGACACTCCAAGTTAAACTTTCAATTCATATTTCATTTATTTATCACATTTCATTTAAAAATAGCTATTCATTAACTATTTGCATGCTCTTATTATACCCTGAACCCATTTTCAATGGGAAATCAGGGTATAATGGTTTTGTTGAAATGTATGTAACAGGGAGAAGGAGGCGTGGCAGACCCCACAAAGTATATATATTCTTGATCAGGGTGACGAGCTGAGTTGATTTGGCCCTGTCCGTCTGTCTGTCCGTCTGTCCGTCTGTCCGTATGTATGAACGCGTCGATTTCAGAAGATATAAGAGCTAGAGACTTCAAATTTTTTTTAAAATGTCCGTAATTACAGCGCGCATATCAAGTTTATCATTAAAAATCGATAACTCATCTCGATATTTTTTTTATCGATAAAAACCCTTATCGAAACCCAGTTATAAAATTATATCTTCTACAACTTTATTGCTAGTCTCCAAATTTTTAATGTATGCTTATATGCAATTTATACAATTTCGGTTTTTGTTAAAATTTACCCCCCACCTCTAAATTCACCCCCTCACCCTCACTTTTGTAAAAAGCGTATTTCAAATACTAGAGACTTGTGCTTTGGCAATTACATGCATATTCATGTTATAATCATAATCTAAAAGTTTCATGAAGATCGTACGTCCATAAAAAAAGTTATTAAACAATTAAGTTCTCATAGTAAGCGCACACTGCAGCCCATGCGTGTTTATGCATGGTTGCTTGTGTGTGTATGTGTTTGTGTATGTGTGTGTGTATGTGTGTGTGTGTATGCGTTTGTGTATGTATGCGTGTGTGTGTGTATGTGTGTCTGTATGCGTGTGTGTGTATGTATGCCTGTGTTTGTGTACGTGCGTGTGTGTGTGTGTGCGTGTTTCTTGTGTAAGCTGAAAGTCGCGAAAAAGTATTGAAATATCTATTGCTCCAAGGGTTCAGGGGATCTCGTAGTCGAGCAGTCTCGACTAGAGCTTTCTTACTTGTTTTTAATTTGCTTTCGTTTTATTTCTATCACTTCGCTTAAAACTCTAATCCGCTAATTACGCTCACCCGCTTCTATTCGCCGTTCGCTAACTAATAATTATCTTGTTCTCGGCCGAACGCCTCTAAGCCTCCGCCGCGATCCGCCTCGGCGTCGGCAACGCAACTCACCACGGCGTCGGCCCTTCGAACTTTCGCCGCAAAGGGCAGAGTTGCATTGCCGATCGCCGCGACTTGCGCGCGTTCTTGACCCATTTGAATTTCGGAAGTTATGTGAGGCGGTTCGGCGAGCCGCCTTACACCCCCCCCTTACTTTGCAGAGCGATGGTCACGCTTCCCGAAGGCGCGACTGTCACATTTACAGCGACCCCCTCGATCCAGATGCGGAAACGCGTCCTCCTGTGTGGCAGCCTCCGCCTCTGCAACTCCCGTTGCACCGCCTCGATCGTGAGCTCGTCCAGCGTCGCGCCTGCTGGACGGATCCGCCAGCCGTCCGGGATGGTAGGTGTTGGCTCGCATGGGATGGAGCCCTCCCCCATGAGGATTTCGAACAGGTTTGGCTCCCACCCGTCCAAAATGTCGGCCATGTCGGCCAGCAGTCTGGCTTCATCTTCCTCCGGCTCTGGCACTGCGCTCGGCTCTTCTGGTGGGTCGTGCCCGCCTTGTTCCGGACCCCGGGCTCGTTCCCCTTCTTCCGGGATACTTTGATCCGGCTCAAAGGGGGTTGTGTTGCGATTGCCTCCCGTCTGGCGTAACTTCGCCGCCACTTCCGCCAAATCGACCCTCGGAACCTTTCTGGCCGGGCTCTCCGACGGACTTCGCCGGCACCGGCGTCGGAGTGGGGGGCTCGACTCGTTCTCCTCGTCGCTGCATTCCGATTCGAACGGTACGGCTCGTGCCTTCCTCCTCTCGCCTCGCCGCGTCCACAATGACGGGGATCGTCGCCCTTCGTCCCACGCTGCAGTCTCCGAGTCGAGGAGTGCGACGAAAGGACTGTGCTCCCGGCGGCTATCCTGTCCCCGGGACGGGGATCGGTCTTCGGATGACTCCGCTTCCCACTGTCTCCTTTCTTCCTCCGGCGACTGGACCTCCCGCATCTCCTCTTCCTCGCTTTCGCTCTGGGGGGCGGCACGTTCCTCCGGCCCTGATATCGCTGGCGGCGGCGGGAGGGATTGTGGCTCCTCCACGTATGGCGGTGCCCCTCGCGACTCGGGTATCTCCACGTAGATAGTGGTGAACTCTACCTTCATCAACATGACACATCCATCGAGCCTCTCGGCGATGTTGATCGAGGATCGATGGACCGTGTGTTTGTATTTAGGTGGGGGTCGCTCCTCACGGGGCCTATAATATTCCCGGCCCATCCTCGGATCGCCCCGCCTTTGGTACTCCGTACCCGGGAATGGTTCGGTGTCAGCATCGCTGACATCTTCGACGCGGGCCGCCTCTTCTTCCTCCCACTCGTCCTCGCTGCTGATAATGATAGTCTCGTCCTCCATCGTTGTTGTATCCGAAAGCTGAAGCATTAAGTTATACGCTTTTAGGATATTGCTTCCCAAAACTACGGGTTAATATCACAACTTTTACGAGATACTACGGGGGGAATTGAACAACACGTTTGAGGTGAGGAAAAGGCGTGGTTAGACTGAGGTATGTTGCCGTCAGTGATCAGGGACGTCGATGGTCCCTCGGCTTTCATCCTGCTCTTCTTCGCTCTCGTCGCCGTCGTGATGGAAGGGCTTGAGCTGGGAGACATTAGCTACCCTTCTTTTTCGTTCGCCGCTTTTGGCGAGGCGCACGATGTTGGGAGAGACAAACCCAACGATCCTGAACGGCCCGTCATACTTCGGCGCCAGTTTTGCTGCGAAGCCATCCGCCGCGTTAGACAACTGATGCTGCCTCAACAGCACTAATGAACCTAGCTTCGGCCTCCATTCGCGTCTACGCAGGTTATAATAGCGCCCTTGGTCGCTCGAGGCCCTCTGCAGGTTGTTGCGAGCGATTGCGAACACTTCTCTCATCTTGTCTCTTTTAGCATCTGGGTGAAGCCCCTCTGTCGCCGATCCGGGTGTTACCTCGTCATATAGGGCAGCTGGCAGGCGTGGCTCTCGCCCTAACATTAGGAACGCCGGGCTGAACCCCGTAGAATCCGCCACACTGGAGTTGATAGCCAGCGTTATTTCTGGCAGTAACTCATCCCATGAGCTCTGGTGACCCTGGACGTATTGTGCGATCATCGTTTTAATCGTACGGTTAGCCCTCTCCGTCGGATTCTCCTGTGGCGAGTACGGCGCTGTATGTTGGAGTGTCACCCCCAGGGACTCCATGAACGTCTTGAAGCTCCTACTCGTAAATTGAACGCCATTGTCGCAGACGAATATCCTAGGCACTCCAAATCTGCCGAGTATTCGTTCCCGGAACGCCGACTGCAGATGTGCGGTAGTGGCCTTTCTCAACGGCACCAGCTCCACCCATTTAGCGAAAGCGTCGTGGAACACCAATAGCATTGTGTTCCCATGCTTGGATCGAGGCAAAGGTCCCACGAAGTCCGCGCACAGGACCGCCATCGGCTCCGCTACCTGTCTGGTCAGCATCTGTCCGGCCGGCTTTTGTTGTACGCCCTTGAATTTCTGGCACGTGACGCAACGCTTCACGTAACGAGCGGCATCTCGGGACATACCTGGCCAATAGTATCGCTGTGCTAATCTTGTCGCCGTTTTTCTCACACCTTGGTGTCCCGCCGTGGGGGCGTCGTGGCACTCCTGGAGTACCCGGTTCCTTTGGCCTTCCGGGACGCATAGCTTCCAGGGGATGTAATCCTCGTCGTCCGTCCGATGCCCCAGGTTGCGGTACAAGTGTCCATTCTCCTCCACGTAATCTCTAAACTTCTCGGGGTTGTTAGCGATGGTTGTTAGCGGGGTTGATGTAACGATCCAATTTTCAGCTGGGGCAGCGTCAGTCTGCCCAGGGTGGATGCCACAAGAAAATTTATTAATTGCGGTGACCGGACTTTAGAGAGGGGGGTATAGGGAACGGTGGGGGACAATGCCGAGGGTTTGGCCTCTCAGCGAACGGGCATGGCCGCGTTCTCTACATTGACATTAACTACTTTTACAGTCGGGCGTTGCCGCGACAGATTTCCTAATAAAACGTAACAAACAAGGGGGGGAGTAGGGATTCACTATCGTGTGTTAATATTCAACTGATTTAAATCACAATATATAAAAGACACTCCAAGTTAAACTTTCAATTCATATTTCATTTATTTATCACATTTCATTTAAAAATAGCTATTCATTAACTATTTGCACGCTCTTATTTTAATTTGCTTTCGTTTTATTTCTATCACTTCGCTTAAAACTCTAATCCGCTAATTACGCTCACCCGCTTCTATTCGCCGTTCGCTAACTAATAATTATCTTGTTCTCGGCCGAACGCCTCTAAGCCTCCGCCGCGATCCGCCTCGGCGTCGGCAACGCAACTCACCACGGCGTCGGCCCTTCGAACTTTCGCCGCAAAGGGCAGAGTTGCATTGCCGATCGCCGCGACTTGCGCGCGTTCTTGACCCATTTGAATTTCGGAAGTTATGTGAGGCGGTTCGGCGAGCCGCCTTACACCGTGTTGACGTTATTTCCATCCGCTGATGGCTATAATAGATTATGGCGACACCTGAAGAAAATTCAAATGTAATTATTGAAATTGTTTAGGTGCTAAAGATAGTTTCTTACCTAACATCTTATTAATTGAAACATCGGTCGACTCATCAATTAACAAGCTATACTTGTTTTCCCCTACTTCAATTTTCAACTCTTCTTCGAAGTGCGGGGCCAGAACTTTTTTAATTATTGATGTGCACTTTGTCCTGTGCAATTGTATTTCTTTCGCATAAAATTGTAACTTGCACAATTCACTTAAATGACCAATGGGGCTTATTGCACAATGTTGTGCGCAAAACAGTGCAAGTGCCGCCTCTTGCCTACAACTCGCACTACTTACAAGGGGCTTAAATGTAATTTTGTTCACTTGTTAAAAGGGCTTTGCATTTTGCATATGTTTTTTTGAATGCCCATGCGCGCGGAGCTGGTCGATTTTAGCATTTAACGTGCATTTACAATATTTACAAAATGCTTTATCAGGATCTTTAGAATCCTTCAAGTCGCATTCCTTCATCCAGGAATCTCTAAATTTTTGTTTGTACGTATCTTTCGGCATCCTTTACTTTTAACAATTATAACTCGAGTGAGCGATGTTCGATAAGTCAGATTTCGATAACACATATAAAACAGGGTTGCATTGCATTGAAAATGTTCAAAAAATCATGATCAAAGCGATGACATGCAGTTGAAAATAACAAATTATATATGAGACTCAGAAAATTAAAAAAGGATAGAAATAGGGCAAACTAAAAAAAAGGCATTTTTTCCGGACAGGGGACGTTTCAAAATTTTTCCAGCTGTCGCAGTCAAAAATAGGACAGATCTGTCCGGAAAAAGGACAAAACGGCAACACTGGTGGGGAGGAACAATCCTGTTAATGGGATCTGGCTTTAACACCATATTTAATCCGGATTATCCGATCGAACTGCATTCTGATACCAGTATAGATTGATACGGAGCGATTTTGCTGCATAGAATTGATGGTAAGCCTCGCGTAGTTGATTATTATAGTAGACGAACTTCTTCTGCTGAGTCTCAATATCATTCGTACGAATTGGAGGCTTAAGCCCTTTATAACTCAATGAAGCACATTCGCCACTACTTACAGAGCAAATATTTTGTAGTTTATACAGACTGCAATTCGTTGAAAGCTTCACGTTTAAAGGCTGTTCTGACGCCAAGAGTCCATCGTTGGTGGGCTTTTATGCAACTTTGACATACAATATAGGCCTGGTAGTAGAATGTAGACTTCTTTTCTAGAAATCTTTTACCTAATAAAATAAGTACCCAAGCACCTATCAAGCGAGTATAGCTAGCTGAGATTTCGAATAACCTGCTTTTGACGGAGCAACAGAGAGATCCGAAGACTTCTTTGATATTTGCGAATCTCCAAAATGATGAGCTTGAGGAAAGCATAGCAAAGACTTATAAGCTTCGATCAAAAATTGTTTATCGGAAAATTCAAAGGAATGGAAAAACACGATGCCTTCCAGTTATTCCCTGACCGTTTAGATGGTCTGTTGTGAACCATGTCCACGAGGCAAATGTACACCTTGGTTGGGAAAAGACCTTAGACAAAATGTATGAGTTTTACTGGTTTAATAACATGTGTGCCAATTTGTAGACAACTACATTACATGCAAATTTACAAAACCATCATCGGGTAAACCAAAAGTAGAGCTCCATCCCATATCAAAGGTAGATATTCCATGGCACACGGTTCACATTGATATCACTGGTAAATTAAGCGGAAAAAGTGATCAAAAAGAATATATAATAGTTCAAATGGATGCTTTCACTAAATTCGTTTACTTATATCTGTTGGCGAGTATTTGTGCGCGAGTGGATGAGAAGAACCGCAACGCTTGGTTGTTCAAGTGAGACTGATTTTATTATGCTTCTTAATAGCTAAGTACATGATAGCGTTGCCAATAATATGAGAATTGCCATATCAACAATATCACACAGTCAATATTAACTCAGAAAGTTGCATTAGTGCAGTCAAATCCTTGATATCGTTTTTTGGTGTACCAACAAGAATAATTGTAGATCAGGGCAGATGTTTTATGGGCAATGACTTTAGCAAATTTTGTACCATGCAAAAAATTGACTAATGTACATTTGATAACAACAGGGGCTAGTCAAGCAAATGGACAAGTTGAAAACGTTATGAGTGTGAACGTCAGAAGGGCCGTGTCGTGCCCACACAATATTATGAATATCGTGTTATCACTATTATAAGCATCGTGTCATCCCTATATTTTAAGATTAAGAGCGTAAAGAGGAAAAAAAAATGTACTTCGCAAAAACGCCTAATGTTGTATGTGTGTCTGTGCGACTGCCCTTATTTCAATTCCATTCGTTTTTTCCCCGATCCGTTATTCTAACTTGGCAGACGTTTCTGTCTGACCACTGACCAGAGAACACATAGACTAGACATGTAGAACAAACTTTTTCAACACCGAAAAAATGCGCTGAACGGACCGGACAACTTTGTATTTGGTCGTCTCGGTCTTCTGAGGCTATAGCAGTGAAAATATTGCACGAGAAAATCAGTGTGCTGCAAGCGCTCAAACAAAATGGTGTTATTTTTTTATGAAGCACAGCTATGCGCTATTTGTCCTACTCTCTCTCACTCTATCTCTCTCTATGGTCTCTCAAATAGCAGCAGCGCACAGAAATTGAAAATTGTTCGCGACAATCCCAGCTCTTTCCTCTTGAGTGAAGGGTATACCGAAATCATAAAAGTATTTGTCACGCTCATGCAAACAAAATGTAAGCGTTTCGATGGTTATTCGTGGGAAGGGTATGAAAGCGTTGATACGCATAAAAAATATGATTTTGCGACGGGCAAGTACACACACACTTGTAGCCCCTTGCTACATGTCTGAGCATTTGTGACCTGCGTGCGTTACTATTGCTGCTTGTAGCAATTTTAAGGCCCAGCATTTGTATTTGGACGGTCTTACGGACTGTCATAACCACTTTACACAGATGTACTATGTATGAACATACATACATATGTACATAAGTACATTTATATATTATTATTGCTAATCATGTTTATATATGTGTTTATATCCGTAAATAATTATATATAATTAAAATTATTTTATACACATTTTCAACCGAAAAAATTATCGTAAAACACTGGTGTTGAAAAAGTTTGTTCTACATGTCTAGTCTATGTGTTTTCTGGTCAGTGGTCTGACGCAGTCTGGGCTCGACAGTGAGTTAGAGTGAGATAACAATAACAATTGCAATACATGAGAGGGAGAATGTGTGTGAGCACACATATAACAGCAAAGAGATGGTAAAGCAAAGTGATGGCAGTTTCGTGAATAAATTGAATGAACGAACATGTCGCGGCCCAGAAAGCGTTCGGTGATAGATTTTAACGAAATAGAAAATGTTCATCCGACATATACATATATAATATGGATATTCTAGCTTTAAAGATGTAGGTAGATATAATTTAAAAACTGATTTTCGACAATGTTTTTAATTAATTACAAAATAACGGGGCAAGTTATCGATATTTAAAGCAAAACTCGATATGCGAATAGTATACACGGGTCTAAGAAAAAATTTCAAGTCTCTAGCTCTTATATCTTCTGAGATCGACGCGTTCAAGCATACGGACAGACGGACAAACGGACAGAGCTAAATCGTCTCAGCTCGTCGCCCTGATCAAGAGTGTGTATACTTTATGGGGTCTACCACGCCTCCTTCTGCCTGTTACATACATTTCAACAAAACCATTATACCCTGATTTCTCATTTTCAATGGGTTCAGGGTATAAAAAAATGTTATCAGAACATGCATTCATTGTTTTTGAATTTTTTGGCTGTGGTTGACCTTTCTGGAGAAATGCCCATATGTATGTATGTGAGTATATTGCACGTGGTCATAAACGTTTAAGCGCAAAATAATTGCTGGCAAATATATAGCCAGAACTGCAATGTATGTGTACACTTAATACAGTCCAATTACCGTATTCATTAATTTAATGCAACAAGCCAATTTTACATATATTTATATGTATTTTACTGCGATATACTTTCCGAACGGCTCAATAGAATCAGAAATGTGACGCGTCGCCGTGGGTAAAACGAAAACAGGAGTCACCACACATATGCAATTGTGCACTTCCATTTACACTCATTAAGACTAGAAACACAAATAGAATAGGCATGGACAAAGAATCCAAACGAATGAAGAATGAGTGCCATACACAAAACGGTAAAATCCAAAACAAAATTCGGTAGACGTAGCGGCGTCGTCCCGACGCAACGAAAGACGAAAATCGTTTTTGGATTGCACACTGGCCGGAATTGCCAAATAAGTGGCATAAAATCGAAAAAGATATCTAGCTGAAACTTGGTATATCTGATAATTATGGCAATTTAAATATGTATACAACATTTTAAGTTAATTTGACTACGCCTACCCGAATATCCCACATATGGAAACTAAGCGTATACTTGATATCAAATGAAATTGTAAAAGCTTTAAAAAAAAGTGCAGCAATTTTTAATAAGCATGATATTTTTGAATTTCTTATATGATAAGCTAGTAGTAATAACAGGTCTTAATTTATATATTTGACATTAAAACTCATTTGAACAATTTGTTGTAAAATTACTACAACTAATTCAAAAGCATATCGATTAATGTTAATGCCAGATCCCAGATCTCGCTCTCGTCACTTGCCTCTCTTGGGTATTTTGACTACTTTTTTCTATGCAACTAGTTGTGAAAGCAACATAACCTTTCGTAAAGAATTTTAATAAACATCTTTTTTAAATCCACCCATAACGTGTCCTCACTTATCCGACGAATCCACCCTGCACAATTAATATCATCCATATCTGCATCATCAGAATCATCAGTTAAATCTTGAATATTTGAGAGGATATTAAAATTGGGCGTATCTAAGAGCTCTATGACGTCAAGCGGAAGGGTTTGAGTTATAGAACGAGCTGCTTTTTATACTCATTCACGAAAGTGAAATGAGTATATTGGTTTTGTGCAATTTTCCGTCTTGCTGTCCGTCCGTCCGCTGTCCGTATGAACGCAGTTTATTTCGGTGCTATTGAAGCTAAGCACTTGAAATTTGGTACACATACTCGCGTATATCTCCGATTTATAAAGTGTTAAAATTTTCCCGATCTGCCCACTAGGGGCGTGGAAAATCGGAAAATGCATTTTCCGATATACCAGAAACCATGTTAGTTGAAGAGCTAGAGAGCTGAAAAATTTAGTATGTAGGTTGTAAAGAAGTTATTTCATGGCCGGGGTACAATTCTCAGTCTTTCGCCAGGGTCGATTACAAGAATATTTATAGATCGCAAGATCGGGATATGAGGGCGGATAGTGGACCAAGAGAGAGCCGGGCTATCCGGGATCCGGGAAACTACAGTGAAGGTCTTACAGCCGCAGTGAAATGGCCTGGAAATGCTGTAGCTCGGCTCTGGCGTATAGCGCTCAGAAGCGGGGCGACAGCACCTGCCGTACACTGCGACTGACTGTCTGGGGCACGATGACTCAGTCTCGAGCGTAGCCACGTGAACCGCCGCTTCGACCCAATCCTGCCGTATGACGCTCAGAGCGGGGTCGCTTCGCACCCACTATGTGCTAAGCGTCACCTGGTACTCCCGAGGGCTGATGGCCAATCCCAGAGAGTCACGAGCCACCCGACCACGGTGACGACTCAGCTACGGTGTATGACACTCGAAGCTCTAGCGCACTGCACCCACTATGGGCTTTGGCCGGATGCCCAGAAAAACTAACCCCAGCTTGTCTCGACCACCGCCACGCGGATTCCCCCCACGATCCAGACCCGGTGTATGACACTCGGCGTGGAATTGTGTGACCAATGGCGCGGGCTGCGGCGAGACTCCTATGGCCAAACCTGGAAGGCAGTACGCCAACGGTCCCCCAGCCCAGAATCTGGCGTATAACGCTCAGAATCTTCTGTGCGATCCCGCTTCGCACTGATTCCCGAGTTGGCCAATGGCTGATCTCCTCGTACTCGGCTACCTGGCTCCCGATACGCAACCAAGTCGGCCGCTGCCACAACTCAGCTCGGGCGTATAACGCTCAGCGCTAGATTCTGCAACTCCCGCAGGGCTGCGGCGAGGCGCGTGGATGCAGGCGGTCCCTCACGTCAGGCTCTGACGTATGACACTCAGAGCCCTCGGTGTAATTCCGCTGTGCTGAACCTAGAATGAGTCAATCTTGCTCACAGCACCACGTGCGACAACCTAAGTCTCGACCGTAAGAGCTTTTGGTTCTGCTCGCCGTGGCGTCGCTGCTTGCGTTGCGTGAGAGTTTTTGGTGCAGTTTGCGCTCTTATTCTCTTTATCTCGAATGCGCTAGTGAAGATGAAAGAGATGCGCCGCTAGATTTCCAAAAGTTGTATTCTGTCCGCGTCCGTTTTGTCGTTATTGTTGTTTGATGCAGCGCTATTACTCCATTGCTTGTTATTGTTGTTGTTGGTGATTTTTGTGCGTTCTTGAGTGCGTGGTGCAGACTGTACTCTGTTTTGATTTTTAGGCGTCGTTTTCTGTTGCTGTCCGTTTGTCATTGTTACTGTCCGATATTGCGCCGTTTTGTTACTCGCTGTTTTTATACTCATTCACGAAAGTGAATCAGTATATTGGTTTTGTGCAATGTCCGTCCGTCTGTCCGTCCGTCCGTCTGTCCGTCTGTCCGTATGAACGCAATCTATTTCGGCGCTATTGAAGCTAGAGACTTGAAATTTGGAACACATACTCGTGTATATCTCCGATTTATAAAGTGTTAAAATTTTCCCGATCCGCCCACTAGGGGCGTGGCAAATCGGAAAATTCATTTTCCGATATACCAGAAATCATGTTAGTTAAAGAGCTAGAAAGCTGAAATTTGGTATGTAGGTCCGCGTTGACTACCCAAGATCACGAGCTATAGCGGATATATCTACGCCCATTGGGGGCGTGGCAAATCGGATAAAACTGTATCTCCTAAAGTTGTAA